TGGATAAGTACTCGCAGACGTAGATTATGGGAGATCAACGGCTAGTATCTCGTCATATTGCTTGCGTGATTGCAACCATTGGACAGAGGCCATATGATGGTTGAACACTACACAAGTCTTTTCCGCTCCTTCGTGTACACTGCAGTCGACATGCATGTCATTAAACCATGTTGGTGTGGAATGCTCGACACACAAAATGAATGACTTGCCCCCCCCCTCCCTCTAATTTTAATTGCTGACAATACGGCAAGATATGCTCTGTCCGTATAAACAAGCGAGCGAGCGAAGGAGGGATAGATGGACAGAGTGGTAGATAGATAGGTAGACGCGCACGCACGCCCACACACACACACGCACACACACACACACGCACACACACACACACACAGAGGGAACATAGATATATAGACGCACAGAGAGAGAGAGAGAGAGAGAGAGAGAGAGAGAGAGAGAGAGAGAGAGAGAGAGAGAGAGAGGCGGATCAGGATGCAAATCTACCCGGAGAAAACGGATACAGTATCCCAGTTTTGGCGTGGTGAGAGAGACATACGAACCATCTTGTTTCTATCCTCGATACTTCTTAACATGTATTAATATCTCACTATTATCATTGAGAAATTGATTTTATTTGTTGTGTTTTTGACATTACAAATGATCGTAATGAACGAAATTACGAGTTTTTTTTTTCTTTCTTTAATCAGAATTCTTTGATGTCATTCACCTAGTACCAATTGAGCTAGGCACGTTGTTATTGAACATAAACATGCTACCCGTAAGGGAGAAAGAGAAAAAAAAAAGAGAGGGTGAAAACGTAGGACTCTGCCGCACGTGGATCAAGGGTACATGCATAGAACTAATGATGAACAGATCACGAGGTCAAATCCTGACGGAACCAGACCTATACAGTAATGGTCGGGGGCACACTCTTTGGGAGGGGGGGGGGGGGGGGGAGGAAATGGCGAAGACGAAGTGAGGAAAGGAATACCGACAAGGAAGAAGGAACACTGTGAGGGCGCTGGAACCC